CGAGAGCTTCGGCACGGCCGTGCCCGTGGGGACCTCCGAGGCGGCCGATGGAGGCGACTATGAGACGGTTGGGTTTTCGTTCGCCACGGCCCGCGAGAGCCCGCGCACGGTGCGCCGTCGTATCGGCGTGGTCACTCCGCCGCCAGAGTTCCAGAACGACCCGCACGACTCGCAGTCGACTGGGGACGGCACGGCACGGAATGATTCGTCTGCGGCTGCTGCGGCGGCGGCGCGGGGCCGACGGCGCAGCGGGGGAGCCTCAGACGCCGCCGGCGCTCCGGCGACCGCCCTGAACGGCTCAGCGAAGCGGCACTCTCTGGACAACCTGCTGTTGGACGACTCGGAGCGGAAGATCTCGGTGATCTCCGTGCAGGACCTGGGCGCTGTGTTCCGCGGCCGGTCGCCGGCGGCCGGCAGGCAGTTCCACAGTGACGACAGTCTGCTGGACGGCCGGGAGCGGCCGGCGCGCGCCAACCGCTCCCAGCTCAGCGCTGACCTGGAGGCCGAGAGCGAGGCGTCCGAGCGGCCGGTGGTGACGCGCCGGCGGCACTCGGCGCGCGAGCTGCACTCCACCACGCCGACCTCGACGAGCACGGCGTCTTCGGCGGCCGAGCCGGCGCCACGGCTGGCGTCCGGCCGGCGCGGCCGCCTCAGCTCGTCGCCGGAGCCGCTGTCGTCTCGGCGCGGCTCGGCGCACCAGTCGCCGCTGTACGTGCCGCCGTCTCTGAGCGGCTACAGTCCGCGGCGCGAGCTGCACCCGAGCACCACGGCCGGCCTGACGCGCACCAGCTACAGCCCGTCCAGCTCGTACTACGACTCGCCGCGCTACGAGCCGTCCCGGCTGGCCGTGTCCGGCTGGGGCCTGCAAAAGTCCAGCTCTTCCTCCGCCTGCCACCAGGGCTACCACACTATGCCGTCCCGGATCCGGCCGCCCTCCACAGGTCAGTATTCACTCTCCATCCACAGGTCAGTATCTAACCCCACCCTCCATAGATCAATATTCACCCCCTCCACAGGTCAGAATCTGTCCGCATCCGGCTACCATCGACAGGTCAGCTGTATTCACTCCCCCTTCCACGGGTCAGTTATCCCCTCCACAGGCCAGTATCGGCCTGGATTAGACCCCTCGACCGGTCGGTATCTGCCCCTGGATAGGTCAATTTTTGATGGCATAAGGCCTGCGGTTAGTAACCGCTCCAGATCTGCACAGTGACTATCCGATATTTGATTATTGATGTCCAATTAATTATCAATCACATCACAATTATCACTGCCAGATAAGTAATACCAATCAGAGTAGCGAGCACCCGATAATTTGGCACAAATCGATGCGGTGGCGTGCCTTTTACGTTGACCCCAGGTATCCTCACTAGCATATGCCGGTACCCGGCCTGTCCAGTCTGTCACCGCCTTGACCGTCTGTCCGTCCGTTCTCAGACCTGTTCCGGTACCCCACTCTGACCTGTACCGACCGCTTGTTCTCAGACATGCACCGGTACCCGTCCGACAACCGATCTCCCGTCAAACTGGCCTATATCAGTATCCAGTGACCGTCGCTCCGTTCATAGGCCTGTACCGGTGCCCCTCTCAGACCAGCACCGGTACCTACCGGCCGTCCGTGTGTCCATTCCGCAGACTTGTACCGGTATTTCTCTCTGACCTGTACTGCCCACTCCGCAGACCTATTGGTAGTCACTAGTCGGTACTCTGACTCCCTCCGCCCCGTTCCGCAGACCTATACCGATACCCGTCGCCGAGCCGCGACGACACCAGTCTGGACGGGTGCACCCCGGCGCTGCGCCGGCGGCGGCAGGGCACCGACAAGTACGTCAGCGAGGAGCCACTGGGGCTGCGGTTTCAGCGGCGCCGCAGCCGGCCGCGCGACACCACGCCCGTCCAGCCGGCCGTGCCGCCACGCTCCCGGCAGAGGTGAGTTAGAGGGAGGCGTACAGAGTACAGGGAGAGGGGCAGAGGTAAAGACAGGGTGGAGTTAGGGAGGAATGTACAGACACTGGTGAGTGAGAGAGGAACCGTGTGCAGAGTGTAGACAGTGGTGAGTTAGGGAAGGGTGGCTTAAGCAGAGGTGAGTTTAGATCTGAGCTCCAGACTGTGGTAAGCAGAAGGGAAGAGCTGACGGTGTAAGTGTGTCTGTATGAGCACTCAGACCTGTCGCAGTCGGTAATGATCAGGTAAGGTTGTGTTTGTGGTGCTTTGCTTATTGAACTGCCTACTAATCCAGGAGTTGGAGTTTGGGAGCGCTTGGGAGCGCTGCTTATCCATTTTATTAACATTTCTTAACTCAGAGTCTGATGTAGGTCATTTTTGGATTTAACATTCACCGGTCTTTACCATTTCTTAATTCTATATTTATAAAAAGAAACAGCTGCGGCAGGTAATTGTCTGACTGGACGGCTATCAACTTGACCGCTCTTCAGATGAGCGTACCTAATCAGCCTTGTTCGTCTCAGGCCGTTTCAACTCTTTAACGGCTTTATCATCGTTGAAGTGCGATTAATCAGCATGGTTCGGAAGTGGTCATTTATAAGGGCCTATCTATCGAAGGCTGTCCAGTTCAGTTTCTCTGCTGTACTAAAGCGCCGGTCAGATAAACTGATATACACTCAGGTTGTGCCGTCCCCTCCGCCTCTCTCTGCTGTAACCCAGCATGTGTGGTCTGTGCGGCCACTGTCGGCCGGTGTGTGCTCACTAACATGGCTCGGTGCGGCGCCAGCGGCTCGGGCGGCCGGCCGCGACCCTCGGACGGCCACAGCTCCGGGGTGAGCACCGAGTCGACCCGCTCCGAGGGCGGCGCCGGCGGCGGCGCGGCGGCCGGCCGACGACGCGCCGCCGCCGACAGCAGCGATAGCGACAGCCTGTCGGCGCGCGAGGCGGCGCCCGTGCCGCACCCGCCGGCAGGGCCGCCGCCGGCCGGCGCCGAAATATCGGCCAGGTGAGGGACTCGCATGGGGCGTGGACTGCAGAGGGACGCAGGCGGGACACCGCTCGTAATTTTAATCGAAGTCATGACGTACCGCAGGTAGATTGCAGCAGATACCATCCCGCTCTCCCAAACTGTCGTTTTTATTTAAATGAAGTTATGCTGATCGTTCATCATAACTTGTTCGAACCCTCTTCCGCCGAGTTTAGAGACGGGATTCTTTACTGCAAAGTCACACAGACTTCCCGTCACTACCATTTGCATCTCGCTTTGCTCTGTCGGCTATGTTCGTTCAATGTACGCCGTCGTGTGGCAGGTGCCGGTGCCCATTCACTGGTAGAGGCAGGCCTTATTTCGCAGACGCCGGCGGTACCGGCCTGCCGGCGTGGACGAGGTGTCGCCGCTGAACCACGTGCTGCCGCCGCGCCACTGAAAGACCGGCCCACAGCCCGCCGTCTTCCGGCCCACCGGCAAGCAGTTGTTACGATGCACAGGTGCTGATGCTAGTCTGACAGCCTCCTTGTGGAAGTGGGCGCCTCTTTGAGGAGATTTGCGAGTCGTGTGTCGACTTTGGAGCAAATGTGACCTGGTTTTTCGAGACCTGTATGTGTGGGATATGTGTGACAGAATCAGGAGAGAGCGAAAGAGGGAGACAGGGGGAGAGCAGTTGGTTACACTGGCATTCGCCGGTAACGTTATATATTGATGTTGAAATGCTTCTACCTACCATCTGAGGAGAATGTTCTATATAAACATTGGACGCGCTGGTGACGTGTTATGCTACGTTGCGGGGCTGTTTTTTTTTTCTTTGTCAGTGTGTCGGGGTACGGGGCGTGTCTATTTATTGTGCTGCTCACGGCCCCGCGGGGCGAGAGAACCAGATGCTATGTAATGCGCTGTTGACGAGATACTTTTTAAGGGCCGCGCGCTGGCCGGCCGGCCCTGCGCGGCGGCCGACTCTGGGGTCGGGCCCGGCTGCGGGTGCCACAGAGGCGACAGCGGCGCGGTGCGCCCGATCTCGCCCCGAAACGAATCTAGTCCCGGATAGTCAGCGAGCGCCGGCCGCGAGCGCCGCCCCTACTCATACTCATTAGGTTGTCTTTCAACTGGCGGCCGACCGGGCGCGCCACGAGTCGCCACCGGCGCCGCCGCGGACGACCTCTCTGTGATGGCCGCCCCGCCACTCTGTTTCTGGCGTTTGGTGAGAATACAGCCGCTTTGCCATGGGTGTGTCGTGTGTTTGCGCGCTAGCGTGCTGGCTAGAGTGACGTCAGTGGAATGTCTCGGCCTAAGGCGTCTTAGATGAGTTTTGTGTCTGATGGGAAATCCGTCTGAGTCTGGGCGAAGACGATGGGGATGAGGTACAACGACAGCAGGTATGATAGGATGGCTAGATTGGCAGTATGCGTGACACTGACAAGTACAGCGAATGGCAATGCATATTGCACGGATACTGCTAAAAAGTCGCATGCAGCCCGTGCTGGGAAGTTGCTGGAGAAGCCATAACGAGCAATCAGCGTGGGTCGACGGCTGGACAGCCGAAATAGAGAATCTTGCTATCATGAATTGCCCCGCGAAGGGATGGAATTCGAGCCGGTTGGGCTGGTTGATAAAACAACAGTCACATGCAATATATGCCAAATTATAACCTTCCAATGCCTGAGTCGGTGGGAGACAGTTCTATCATAGGCGGCGGAACGAGGAGGGCACCGGGGCGCCGTGCCCCCCTTTGATTTTCGCATTTAAAATTAGCCTTATGGGCGTTGGCGTTGCATGGAAAGAACTTGGGACCAAAAGTCTCGGCGGTGCCCCCCCCCCCCCCCCCCGCCTCGAGTTCTATCGAACGCCGAGCGGCTTCAAAAGGCCATAATATTTAAAGCGGGAAGTGGAGCTGCTAATATTTCTGCTAGTTAACGACAGCCTCCTTCGTGAACCCGCGCCCGGCTGGGGGTCCTGGAGGCTGGATTTCCACGCCCTGCAGCTCGTGAACGGGGGCTGGGTGCCACGGAGAGAAAAAGTACGGGACCTTCTCCCCGATATGGTAGCAGAAGATCTTTCATCTGGTAGCTTTGAACTGCGACGAATGTGGCTCACTAGTGCTAAGAAAATATTGCCTTTGTTTTCTTCTGTAGTTAGGACAATTTGATGTCCAATTTAGGGTTTGTTGATTGTCAGTTTCCAAAAATTAAGACTATATGTTAATTTCAGCATAATCTGGTTGAGGAACAAACTAAAGGTATGCTCACTGCGGGGTCTGGTCACATGCTTTGATGGGTTCAAAGATGCGTCAGGACAATCACAATGGGCATGTATGTTATTGTCATAAAATATTGAATATTTCATATCAGAATGATTTTCGAAGGATAAGAAAATGACTGATGAATTGAATTATATAAATTTCAAGCAATGGGTGAAAGTTAATTATCTTTGACATGCCAAAATCCCTCGACTCCCTTAATTTGGCTTGTTCGTATCCATCCACCCTAACAATCTGAGTCTATAGGGAAAAGACAAGCTTTGTGATATGCTTGTAATGATATGTCCTGGCTCAAGCACACTGAGATAATTTGATTTGATTATAATCACTCAATATTACAAACTAATTGTAAGTTAAGTCCTGCAATATTTTCTCACCAGCTTACCAAGCTTTTTGCATCTTTGACAGTAGCTATTTAAGCAATATAAGCTAGTTAAATGTTTGTACAACTTAGACATATTTTACAAGTCTTTCAGGAAAAGCACTTACCTAGTCTTATTGTACAGAAACTCGCTGCATCACATTTCAAGTTACTTTGTTTAGTTAGGTTGGTTTAGTTTATTGACATCAATAAACTAAACAAAACTGTCAGGGTCATTGTGTGAGCATAGATTTCCCTGGAGTTCAGACTTCAGTATCATGCCCTGACTGGAGGTCATTTTGCATAAGAATATCAGTCAGCATTATGAACCTGAGCATGTGCATTACTTTCATTGCTGTAACTATTTTTTTTCCTGCTGGAAATTGTTTTTCAAACTTCTGGTGACTAGTGCAGCTAAAGGTAACCTCAGCCTAGAGGTGTGTGGTGGGAGGTCACAGGTGCAAAAGTTTAGTTTAGTATTAAATTAAAGCTAATCCAATATAGTTTTCAGAATAATGCACCATGTGCACCATATAGTGCACCATGTAGTAGTTTTCAGAATGATGCTCTCTGTATGAAACACAGTATCACTGCTGACTACACTCCCTTTGATTTATAATGGACTGGGAAGGCACAAAGTGACAAGTGGCTAGGCCATTTTTACACCTTTTTTTATTTTTCTTAAAACCTGAAGGGATGTGTGATGCCCCTTGCCATGATGCTGTTGAGCAAATTTGTGTTTGAGTTGAATGCATGGCCTGATGGTGATGAATGCCATCCTCATCACTCAATGACTACCTCAGTGGTTGATTAAGTGTGGTTTCGCAATGACCTGAATCAATGACAGGTCAGACTCAGGTCAGCTGTTATTGGACTTGGGGTCAGGTCTGTTGACTCTATTGTTTGTGCGGACAGAACAGACGTTAATCATATCTACAGTCTGGTAAGGTGGTGCTGGTTCTCCCTTAGTACGGCCGCGGGCCGTGTGACAGGCTCCCCTGACACAGCGGGCATTCTCGTTTATTTCAGCTTCTGGCGATGTGCGTAGCGGCGCGGCGCCCCCTGAGCCGCTACTGAGTCCGCCCGGCCGACCGTCGCCGTGCACCATGTCGCTGCCTGTGCCGCGCACGCTGGAGCCGCCGGCGCTGGCCGTGCTGGCGGCGCGCGTGCTGGTGCAGCACCCGTGGGCGCTGGGCTCGCGCGGCTCGCACTACCCGTGGGACACCAGCTGGCGGGTGTCGCGGTACGTTCTGCTGACTGAGGAGGTGGCCGACCTGCTACTGGCCGAGTGCCGCCGGCTGCGGCCGCAGAACGGCTTCCTCTCGCTGCTCTCGGACGCCGGTGGCCGCACCCGCCGCGTGCGGCTGCAGACCGTGGACGTGCGCGGCCTGCCCGTGGACGCCGGCCAGCTGGTCCGACTGATGGTCGACCGGCCGCGCGTGCTCCGCTTCGACTCGGCCGTGGAGTTCTCGGCGGACAGTCTGTGCGCGCTGCGCGACCGGTGCGTCCAGCTGCGCCAGCTGACCGTCAGCGGCCGATCCGCGCCCACGCCCATGTTCATGGACGCGTCACTGCGAGCCACCGACCTGGAGAAGCAGCTGGCCGCCGACCAGCCGGCGCTGCTGCCCTGTCCGCAGCTGCGCTCGTTTACCATGGTCGGGTCGGCGTCAGTTCGGTTCTGTCCCACCCAGAGCTACCTGGACGCCCTGCTGCGCGGATTCTCCTCGCTGACTCACCTGGAGCTAAGCAACGTCTACTCGGACGTGGACGTGTCGTTCGTGGCGCGTATGCCGCGTCTGGTGGCGCTGGTGCTGCACAACGTCAGTATCGTCTCGATGGAGCGTCTGGCCGTACTGTCCGAGCTGCGTCACCTGGACATCTCGTCACCGCCGCCGGTCGCGGGCCGTCGCCGCCGTCCGCCGGCCGACCCGGACCGGCTGCTGGAGCGACTGGTGCGCGGAATGCCGCATCTCGAACACCTGGATATATCAGGCACAGCGCTGGCCGGACCGGGCGTGCACTGCTGCCCGGCCACCGAGCCGCACAAGCTCTGCGACATCGTGGGCCTGAGCAGCCGCGTCGGACGGCCGCTCCAGTTCCTGGGCATCTACGGCTGCAACGCGTCCCACCGGAAACACATCCCGGCGCTGCGGATCGGCGGAGACATCGGCGAGACGCAGCTGCTGCTGGCGGCGGCCGCGCACCGGCGCCACGTCTTCATGGTGGCCGACGTGCTGGAGCAGCTGGAGATGCTGCTGCAGATGAACAACGGCGTCACCCGCTGGCAGGAGATCCTCCACTTGGCGCTCGACTCCATGGACGAGTTCTCCTTCTGCAAGGACATTCATATCCGGTGCGGTGCCATCATTCAGACCATCACGTCCAGCCGCGTGTGGCACGCGGCGCTCACTGAGGTGGAGCGGCAGCGCGTGCTTCGGCAGCTGTTCCGCTCGGTGGCTCTCTACCGCAAGTCGGTCCGGCTGCGACACTTCATCGCCATGACTCTCATGAACTTTGACGTGCCCCGGGAGATGATGTTTTGCTTCGAGGGTTTCCTAGACACGCTGAGTCATATGCTGAGTGGTCTGCTCAGCGAACGGGACAATTTCGTAGAGCGCGTACTTATCTTCTTGCTGAACAAGACCTGCTGCGATGTGGATGGCCGTCGAAAGGTGATGGTGGGAGAGCGAGGTCTGGTGAAGATGCTGCTGAAAGCCATCCACGCCCGCCTGCAGGACCACATCTGCGACGACGTCATGTGCTGCCTGTGGTCCTGTCTGTGGAACGTCACGGACGAGACACCGGAGAACTGCGCGCTGTTCCTCGACAACCGGGGCATGCGCCTCTTCACCCAGTGTCTGTCCAAGTTCAAGACGGACTCGGGCGACCTAGTGCGCAATATGATGGGTCTGGTGGGCAACATCGCCGAGGTTCAGCACCTACGCGCTCACTTCATGACCAAGGAGACGGTGGAGACGTTCCTGCGACTGCTGAACTACTCGTCTGCCGACCTGGAGATCAGCTACCACGCGGCCGGCGTGCTCTCCAACATGCTCTCGGACGGGCCGTCGGCCTGGACGCTGTCCGAGCCGGGCTGTGTCGAGGTGTCGGCCCGCCTGGAGCGCGCCGTCCGCGGCTGGAACGTGATGGCCGAGCGCAGCATCAACTACCGCAGTCTGGCGCCCATCATCCGGCTGCTGCGCTGTGACGTTCCGGAGAGCCAGCTGTGGGCCGCCTGGGCGCTGGCCAACCTGACGCAGGCGGTGCCGGAGCGCTACGGCCGTATGGTGGAGGAGGAGGGCGGCGCGCGCCTGCTGCGCCTGGTGGCCGCCGCCGGAGACCAGGGCAGCTACCTGGTGCGGCTGGCGCAGCTCTGTCTCGGCACTGTGGATAGATACCGGGACGGCGGCGACGGCGACGGGCTGGCCGCCTGAGCCGGAGTCGGACTCAACTGTGATATGTGTGGACGCGCCGGCGCCGGCCGCGGGACTGATACCAGAGGACACAGGCGTGCCGCACTATGTTCAGTGCCGTCTTATTGCGTCACGCCGCACGAAGATATGGTTAACTCTGCGCGTGTGGCGTCTCACCTTAGGCACCGATGGACCGTATTATGTTTTACCTACTTGGTTTGCCTCGAATCTGCTATCTGTGTGTATCGGCTTACGTTGGCGATGGTGGCAATTTTCTGTTACCCGGTGTTAGTGGGATTAGGAAGCTAACACAACTGCGGATAACTTTTTCAACGGATCGTGTGGGCTGCCAATTCGGACCGAGCACCGGGAGTAACGCAGATGTCTTTGATCTATCCTAACATGTTATCCCTGGCTTCACCCGCGGCAGTGCTGCGACCTTGCAATATTTCACCGGGCGCCGGCGGATTCATTTGTACACCTTCATAGTGTTCTATTGAAATGTTTTATGCATTTGATATATCTGCTGTTACACCGAACGCCAAAAGAGCCATGACCGTTATGGGCAGTGAGTTGTAGGCAGTCGATGATGCCGTGGTCAGATCTGAGGAGTGATGGCGGTGTGATTTCGATACAGGCCACCGCCGCGGCCGATGTGCTTCTGTGCAGGATACCGAAAGGACTGAACTAGGAGAGCTCTTCATCGTGGACGCTGCTAAAAGGTGGCTGGTAATGCTGAGGACCGCTGACTGTCGGAATCTACTCTGGACTGGCGACAGAATGGCCCAAATGGGTGAGAGACTGAAGACTCCCAGAGGCGCTCTACTGACGGCGTACTTACCGGAATGATTCCAAGAAGGAAAACACCATAATGGGAATAGTTGGGACAGCCAACTCCAAAAATGGAAACTTATGACTTATCTCAAAACGGTCATAAAAAGCACTAATTCAGGTGTGAAATAGTTTTTTATCAACAGCTCAATAGGACAAACTTGGGCTTTTCATGTGGTGGCATTGCCCTACGGTTGGCCCAAACTTTGGCCAGATTTTTGCAGCGGATTCAACTAAGTCACTTTTTCGGTTGATGGTCTGTAGAAAGAAAAACTTTATGTAACCTGCGAGAAATGCGAGGATATTTAGTGGTGCTCGTGCAATTTTGTCACTTGGATATTCAATAAATACCTTATGCTGTAGTTAAAGTGTTTTGCGAACAGCCTTCCTCATATACCTAACCTACCTATGATGGACGGATATTTTTCTGAGTCAAACTCAATTGGATGTGAATTGGTAACTGCGACTCTGCGAACGGATACGAAATAAGTTTTTCGTTCCGTTCTGTTTGTTTTGTTGGGTTAGGCTTTTCCGGTCTAACAAGACCAAGAGCCGAATGAGTGACTAGGAATTAGTGGGCGAAGTTTGTCTGCCCCTGGTGATATCCGGGCCGCGGGCTGAGCTCCATCGGGGGTTGAGACCGTTGAGACCTTTAGGGCCTTGGTTGAGACTAGTGGAGAAGAAGGATCGAGTATCCCAAGGATGGAACGACGGAACGAAGGTTTTCTTGTTTACTCGTGCAAGCACCTATCCAGCTGGCTTGGTTGTAATTTGTAAACTACGCAGTCGCATCCGGCTGCTTGGATGCCTTGGTATTGCGGTATTGCATGAGTAGGAGATTGCAATGAAGGAATACTTGTAAAGGGTGATTTGGAAGCTCCGATATTGCGTGGATCTGGAAGCAGCTGCTGTTTCCAATTGTAACGCAGACAAGCGCAATAACACGCATCAAAATTGTGTAGGAAAAATATTTCAATTTGTTTTGTGAGGGCGCTTGTCTTATTATTTTCGTAGATTATTAATAGATGTCCGAAATTTTAAACAATTTCATAGTTTCTTAGAGTACAAAGGGACATGGTTAACCTATCAGCATTGTTGTTACTGAGTAGGCACTTTAGGAGAGATGGCCGGTAACTCAAACTTGTGATGCATCTCAATCTAGGCTCCATTACAATTACGCGATTTTCCGTGCGATTTTGCGATCATGCTAGAATGCGATGCCCTCGGTGATGTCAGAAAAAGTTAATCTAGTGCCAATGGATGCCCTGAGCAATTTTGGCCCTGAGCCACACAGCAGAAGAATTAGGTACCTATCGTATTATCGCATGAAATGTCTCGCAATATTGCTCATGCATTATCACACTTTTGGGCGATATCCCAATATCACAAAATCACACAGAAAAATTGTGTGGTCGAGCCTGGGCTTGAGGCTAATTTTCCAAACTGGACTTAGACTGGTCTCGACCCAAACCTTTTCTAGGAAGGCAATACTTATTGTGTGGTGGGACTAAGATATGTAATAATTGAGATTCATTTTATTTTTTTAAGTTTATGCATTAATGGTATAAAATGAACTGCTTACTTTCTTACTGCACTGTGAATTGTGATCATGATCCATGGGAGGCACCATATTGCGATGCGATGCGATGGTTTTCGGAGGTTTAGCCTTTGTATCGGCACCTCCTTGATTTCTTAAACTTTAACTTTTACTTTGATCGATGGGTTGCATTGTTATGGTTGGTTTGTGTGGCTAGGATTCTCACTAGGGGACAGGATTGGGTGTTGGGAGGGTGAAGGTCAACTAGGATGGAGAAATTTGTTTTATTTCCAGCAGTCTTCTTTTCTTCCACAGCTTAAGCAATACTTCTTTCTTTTCTTCGATATCTTCCTCCTCAAACAGAAACATCCCTAAAATATCCTTTGCATGGGGTTTCTGAAGATGCATTGATTCTTTTCTTTCTTCTTCGTAGGCTGGGCAATTCAATATAAAGTGGGCGAGGTCTTCATTTTCTGCATTGCACATCATACATCTTGTGTCTTCTTTCTTGTATCTCTTGCGCTCATTTAAAGGAAGACAGTTAGCTCTTGCCTGGAAAAATATTGTTGATGCTTGCTGGTTGTCAATAAACGTTACTTCCTTCATCTCCTTTTTCCAGACAATATACAGGGACAGAGTAGTTTTAGTTAACAATTCCTCCTTCCATTTCTTTCCATCCCATTTTTGCATGTGTGTTTTAAGGTCTTTTTTGCTTATCTGGTACAAATCCTTTACTTTGAGTCCGACTTCCTTAATAATGGAATAGGTTACCTTTATCCATTTGTTCTTGCCCTCGTCCATCATTTCTGTTAACACCTCTTTGAGTAGTTGATTTTTTCCTTGCAATATGCTTCTCATGTACTGAAGTCTTCCAGTTTTAATCCTTGTTGTCATCAGAGATGCTCCAATTTCTCCTCTCAATGCAGCATTTGGTGTATATTTTGGAGCCCCCAAGATCTGTCTGTAGACACCATTTTCGATTACTTGCAGCTTCTTGGTCTCTTCCTCTGTGACTGTCATGACACTGGAGCCGTACAGTATTGATGGCAGTGCTAGGGATTTCCAGTAGGTCTTACCAATCAGCAGTCTGTTGCATGATTTTGCAATTACTGAATAGGTCATGTTTGCCATTCTTTGTGCCTTTTCAATCATGATTCTTTTCTGCCCTCTGAACACATCCCTTGTATTTGTTACTTTCAGACCTAAGTATTTTATGTTTTCTTTTACTTCAATATCTTCTATGCTTCTGTGCTGTTCTTTCAGATTAAAGGGACCATCCCACCTTAACATTAGTTTTGAGTTGAGATAGCCAAGTTTGCGGCCAGGCTCAGAAACCACCATTTATCCTGGTCGCAACCCCCGCAGCTTTATGGTGTTCAAGAAATTTCTTCCCTTTACTTGCAGGGTGGGACCAGCTTAGTCCCTATCTCTTAACCATTAGCGGTTTTTTGATGACGTCAGCAGTCATTTCAACGCCCGCCATTCCTTGAACCCGAGTTTTGCCGACCTTGAGCTCCCTTTTTTATCAACGTGAAATCCGTCGTCGGCGCTGAGAAAGCCTATTGCTTTTCATTTTAATTTGAATATTAGAAGATACCCACCACTGGAACTTGGACTGATATTATACCAAGGCCGAAGATGATCAAGCTGCCTGCTATATCTGGAGCTTGGTGTTCAACTTCAACATGGAATAAAAAACAAAATATCAAAGCAAACTGGATATGGTACTGCAAGTTAAAGTCCAAAGAAATTTGAAGAGCTGACAATTGACATTAATTCTTTTCCTGCAAGGTTTCCATATGGAGATCACAGTCACACCATGAAGAAATATTTTTGATGTTTACAGTTGAAAGGGGATTTATATTCCAGTTTTGACGAAAGACGCTGCTGACTGTCTTTGGAAAAGGATGTCGGCATGAGGTGCAATTGTGCTTGTGAAGTGGTTATAACTGGTCTTTTCACAGTATTAAATTAAATGTGCCATTGCAGCCAAGTGTGTTATCATGTAAGGTAAAATCAAAACTACAATGTTGGTTTTACGAGCATTGAGAAGGCTGGTAGGTAACACCTGCCTGTGCTCGTAAATCATGCTGCCAGCCAGAGTATTCTAAATTAATTTTATCATACACTTTTGTTGTCCAGAATGGTTGCACTATTGTTTGGTATCATATTATTCCATGTAAATATGGTAGTGTAAAGTCCGACCAACATGTTACCAGATTTGAAGCTGTTACGTTACCTAAGTACCTGTTTTTTACTGGCGTGGTGAATGTCACCTGGATTTTGTTTTGAGGTGCAGACCTAGTAACTCTGACTACATGGGTTTGAAGCTATTATCTATTCTGTTTTTACTGGCCTGGTGAATGGCGACTGATGTTGTCCGTGGATGGCACTGAAACAAATTTTGAGTGTTTTGTACAGTGTTTTAATACAATGCCGAGGGCTGAAAGTTCTCTTGTTTAGAGTGGTGAAAGTTCAGGATATGCCAGCCACCATGGTGGGTCAGAGTTAAATGTGTTGCAGTCAGTTCGGCTTCGGCAAGCACACGGATGGGCATACGCATCAAGACCTGCTCTGCCATACTTTCAGCCAATTTTACCTAAGTAAGTCTTTTCTTTTTTCTGCCAAAAGCTATGACATTGTGAATTTCAGCACTGTGGCCTGTGTGTAGCTTTCAGGAAAGCAATTCTAAATAAAGCTCTGATAAAGTGCAAAATCAGCAATGCAGCCCTCTATTACATTTTCTACAACATCTTACTTGTTCCTTGCATGGAGAGAAAAATGCAATGTTATGAATTCGTTTATTCACATAATTTGACAAGCATGCAGTTACCTGCTACTATCACTGCACAAAACAGAGCAGAAAACATCAGTTGATCAAACACAAGACATAACAGAAGTTTACAACATAGGGCTGCCGAACCTGCTTCCTCCCACCACAGTTGATGCCATTTCCTAGCCTGGCTTGATGTGAGCACTGAATAGCTGCTTTGTCTAATTACAGCTCACTACCATTCAACTTAAACTACTCTCTTTAAAGTAAGAGTGAGAGCGTTCAGTGTTCATAGCAGCTCGACAGACGACAGACAACAAACATCTTGACAAACCAACCAGTATTTGATTTGGCTAATGATTTATGTGCTTGTTGTATCATGGCCAAACTACTTTAACAGCAATAATCCCTGTTTCATCTTGATCTTGCTTTTATTTCCATTTGAACTCAGATCTTGAAACAATCATCTGAAGTGATATCAGATACTGGCTTCTGTTTCTCTTAAAAGCAAGTTAAAACAACAATGATAAACTAAGGCAGGAGATGTGAGTTGTGGCAGTAAATTTTTGATTCAACATATGTCAACCTTATATTGCTTGAGACCTCTGTGACAGACAAACAAATATTTATAGTTTTTTGATAGTTTGGATTCTTGGCTTGATTTAGCAGATCAGCTGTGAATCTTGACTTTGAAATCACATAAATGTCATGGTACCCGAACGAATCCTCGCATGACATTTCTTCGTAGCACAATTTTTCGTCCGCATTTCTTCGTCTACAAATCTTCGTCGGTGCATTTATTTGTCCCTCAATGCTTACTCTTGCATATATTTGCGTTGAAGAAGAAATGCGAGCCGATTTTCATATACTCTGGTGCGAGACAAAGTAATGCGATAGGTACGAATAAATGCCCTGACGAAGATTTGCAGACGAAGAATTGCGATACGAAGAAATGCCATAAGAATTGTCCTGGAATCCTTTATTGGCCATCATATATTGACCTTGATAAGATAAACGCATCATTCGCGCAATATTTGTCGCACTTTGATACCAAATTATTGCTTCCAAATACCGACGTAAAGAAAACCTTTATGTGACGTCATAGAAACAGCGGATTTCCCAAAAAGTAAACAAAAATAAAAGTCTTATATCTCGAAAACGGGTGAATATTTTCCGGTAAAATTTGGTAGATGTTCATTTTCGCTCTTTGTGATTCACGCTACATCACTTTTATGCCAATTCATTAACTTTTTTGAAGGTGGGAGGGTCCCTTTAAATGTGATAATGTTGCTCTTATTCTTGTTTATGTCCAGTCCACACTCCTTGCTAATTGCTGTCAGTCTATTTAATATTTAAAGAGGGCCGACTACAGGAACGGGAAGGTATTGTCTGCTCCCCATAGGCCAGACTGGGAAACATCCACACACTACGCCAGGCACCTGCGAGACCCTCCTGTGTCGAAATTTGGGGCAAGCGATTTTGTGCTGAAATTTCTCCATGATTTGCGCCATAAGTTGGGTGTCTAGTTGTGCCAAAATAAAACAACTTACACAAAGCACGTGTGCACATCTACCAACCTGAACCAAGGCTATATCACCTAGGCAGAGCATTCCATGTTTGAGCGTCCGAATTAGTTGATTTGTCCCAATTCCACAATACGTGTACCACTTACACCGTAGCGTCGTGCCGTGAAACAAGGCCCGGGCCAGAAGTTCCAGGCCCAAAAAAATCGGCGGAGTAGTAGTGTGTTTGGGACTGGTGGGCACCAGCTAGGGCAAGACAGCGGTGAAGCACGTGCTCCGGGCGGTGTTGCGAAACATGCTGCCAGCCGCTGGCAGCACACGTGGCAATTTGGGTTTCCGTCACCGTGGAAACATCAGCAAGCCCCATAGCTCCAACACTACCACAAGTATGACATCAGTCGCGAAATGCGCTGGCAGCGGCTGAAGAGACGGCCGATTCGGTGCAGGTACTGGAACGAGCGGCCCCAGTGGCCCGCCCTCATCTGGTACACCGAAATGATATCCTTTCTGTCCTATCCGAGGATGGGGGCCGCAGCGTGCTTTCGAAGAGTGGTTTGAATAGTGACTCGGACCAGTTGTTGCGCCATTGGCGAGAGGCCGCACAATGAACCGCCCGGGTCAGCGGGCGGGCGTCTGAGGGCAGGGCGGTCGCTTATTTCGCCAGGTCGTCCGCGCTCTCATTCCCCTCGGTCCCGCAGTGGGCAGGAGCCTGGAACGTACTGCAGGATTACTTCACGACGCTCGGCGATGTTCAACAAGGTCTTCCAAACCTAGCTCCGCGCCGAGGGTGAAGGCCTCACCTGCAGGACGCTCCTCAGCTGAATAAACTCGGGGCGGCTCGCGAGTCGGAGCACGCAACTACCGGGGCGCGTATTCGCCAAGTGTATTACATGAATCGGCCCACCAACTAGCGACATCTCTAGTGCGACGTCATAGCCATCCGAATGCATGCAATCGGCGCATGCGAAGTTACGCCGGACGTGCGCTGAAATTTTCGGTGCAATCCCGCCACTACGCCGGACATATTCGTCATAACATGCATTTTTCCAGTCTGGCCCATAGGTTTGTCTGATCATGAATCAGGGGCAGAGTGCAGTCGAGACTGGACTGGAGGCATTCCCATTGAGTGTCAAGATGTCAAGATGCTTTTGGATCTGGGAGGTGTTCAAGCGAATGTGATAAGCTAAACTTCATGGTGATTTCCTCCCTTTGGACCCTTTAAAAACTGAAGAAATTCACGAAAACAACATGAATGGAAAGGCATCATTTACCATTCATTAAGAACACAATTGGTACCTACTAGTTACCTAAGAACCAACTTGTTTTTGCATTTTCAATCTGATTTTCAATGTCATTTTTGTCTCTATAGGTAGTGTATGTCCTCACCAATCTGCTTTATTGGGTTGTTTGGTTTCAGGCATCCCATTTCAGAGTAGGTATCAAGTTAAACATGATCGCCTAAGAATGCACTAGCACTAATTGTGATACCAAGTCCATTGCATTGTGTTAACTCTGTGTTGAAAATTGAGCATCAAGATGAAGGAATCCAAGCACAAAGGCTTCATTCTGCTGTGCCTATTGTGCTTAAGTGCTGCTTTGGTTGAGTCATTACCAGACCAGGGCATTTGGGATTTCTCTATAACTCAGGTGAGTGACACTGTCTATTGTTGAATGGGCCACTCTGACTCATATGCCAACTGAATCGATTTCCCATTGAATTGAAAAGATTCACGTCGCATTTCACGCATGCTCGTGCTCAGTAGTGTGTTATCAATGCATTTTGGTGCGTGGATCAATCCGCAGCACAACTTGTGAATGATTTTCTTCCTCGATGTAGACAATGTGCACCTATTTTCTTTTTTCAGCCTGATGAGTATGTGGGTGTCTCGAAGAGTCTGTACAAGGGTTCAGACATCATTATTAAAGTAACGTGTGGCTCCGATCACACCAATATCTCGGTCGGATGGATGATACGACAAACACCCTGCTGGAACGAATACCTCGCCCTGGAAAATCAGGTCAGATGCCTTATAATGACGGCAGTCTGCTCGTTTTTTTCCTGCTGTCACGTCTATGTAGTTTATTGTGTTATCCACTGACAGAGTTTTGTAGATGGCTGATTTTGGGTCATGTTTGAACTTGGTCGACTCATAGTCATAACCATTTTCCAATGCCGATTACCTACGTGTCATTTTTACATTTTTAATTTGGTACCAATGGATACAATTGAAAAGCGTGCTCTCTGTCTCCGATAAATACTGTCTCTGTGTGCCGTACTGACGAAGATTCGTTTTACGCTCTTCATGCGAGTAAAACTACCCAGCGTCAGCCCCGTTTGCCGAAGGCGGCGCCTAATTACATATGTGACGTGGTGACGTGTGCGCGGCAGGCCGGGAGGAACAGCAACCTGTCGTACATATACGACAACCCGCAGTACCTGCCGAGCGCCGTGCCGCAGCCCTACTACAACAGCACCTGGTTCTACGTGTACCCCGAGAGACCCTTCGCCTGCGACGCCGTCGTTCTGGTGAGTGCAGCCGTCATTGATTATGCATGCATACAAACATTCATGAATCATGCATGCACCGAATACGGGGAAGCACCGCTAAAATCACACGTACCTACACAACATGAAAACACACTGAAGCATTGGCTGTGTTTGTCGTTTTCCTGATGTTACCAGCGGTAACGAATAGTTTTCTTTCAGCCGGAGGTTAGAATCAACCCCGATGACGGAACTGTGTCTATCCCGGCGACGTCCGCGGACAGCGATACCGGGGATGCCCCCAGCACGGTGAGTCAGGGTTACGGCACTCTGATGTGACGCTGAGATAGACCAGCAGAACGGCTTCTGGCTTTGTCTTGAACGTAATGCCTCGGTGTGGAACATCGATGTTTCGTTTTTTGTCGTGCAATTTGATTGCAGTTGCTTGATATCTTACATTCGTTGAACGACCTAACTGCTTATGAACTCCTTTTATTTAAATCTGTCACCAGTGTGCTGCTGATTTTTATGATGGTGCCACTGATCTTTATGACTGGACTTTTTCGTATGCCGTCATCTCATTGATGTACGCCATGTCCTTATAAAGGTCATATGAAACCTGCAGGTAAAATTCGCTGGAAATCTCTCAAAGAACACTTCATTCTCGAGTCCCGTTTGCTTGACCGACTATTGTGTCTAACGGCGTGCCCTCGGCCATTACAGAAAGGCAACTCCGGAGACGGGGACCAGAGCTCTGCAGCAGCCAGGGGCGGGGACCAGAGTGCTGCAGGGACCAGCGGAGGTAACCAGAAATCTGCAGCGGCCAGCGCCGGTGACCAGAGCGCTAAACCGGCCGGGGACAGCGGCCGAGACGGGAATAACCAGAAGCCGACCAAGAAAGCCGCGGTAAGGCATGCCGGTCGCCGGGGTGCTCCTGTGCGGACTGTTTCCGATGATACTCTTGATTGTCAACGAATCTTCTCACCGTGTATGATATACACCACGTCACTCCATAATCAATTTAATACGCCACATTGCATGCCTCCCGATAATTTGTTTGTGTCGCAGTTACGAGAGATTCCAGCTTGTTTCGCACACCGGATCAATTTGCCCGTCTTCAAATTGCTGTACGATCGTGTATGGCCCTTTTTGTTGATGTTCAGCTCCCTTGTGTTTACAAGTAGGACTGGCGAATACCTGAGTCTTTTCCAAGTCTCCCAGGCAGTCCGCTGATCGGCTCCGTGCCTGTCTCGTTCCATTTTGGCGTCATCTGATCGTATTGCTTGAAAACGAGCACGCCAATTCCGCGTATCACTCGTATGTCAAGACGATATACTAAGACAATTAACAAAAAAAAATATCCGTTTTACTGTTTCGTTAAACTTTATTTTCGCGCGTCACAAAGCCAACTCCAACTGGTCATTTATTTATTTGCATCTCACCATGCCGAGTGACGCAGAATGTGTGTAGCGGTCGGTAGGTCAGACTCAGAGGCCCAGCTGGGCTGTCGGAGTCCTACCCACCGCGACAGGTGCTTGTTTTGGCAGTGTTCCTCGGTCTGCGTCATGTTAATGCCACGGAGAGACCCCGCGGGAGTGGTCAGTTGACCTTGGCTAAAGGGGCAGAGCGCCTACAAACCCGCCACATGCCGGCATATACCTACCTACTCGAACATTTCGACTGAGGTGGCCGAATCTCCCGATGCTCGAAACTTCTGACGTCAGCTATGACGTCAACTCGGTCGTGTAATTTTATTTGACAAATGAATGCAACGGTTATTCTAAGTTATATGTATATTTTGCAATTTATTATTTGTCGTTGTTTTTCCAGATTTATTCATACCCGCGCTCAAACTGATGGATTTTCAACCAACCTTTCGAAAACCATGTTCTATGCGTTACTCATTTTGGTCTCGACATGATGCATATCCTATCCAAGTTATGACCGTTGCCACGTGCCTTGCCGACAGCGCGTGCAGCGGGCGGCGGCTTCTGGCGGCTCGCCGGCCCACCGTCAGATGCAGGCTCCGGCTGACGGCATCTTCCTACTGGTGGTACATGTGACCAGTCTGGAGCCGCGCCTGCCGCCCACCCCGCTCAACGTCACCGTCCATATAGAGATGAAGGCCGACTATGGCTACCTGTCGGCCGCCGACTGGCCCAACCTGCCGGTACGTGGGACTGGGGGGGGGGGGGGGGGAGGAGGGGGGCAGCCTGCCGGTACGTGGGGCTGCGACTGGCCCAACGTGCCGTTATGTGCTACTGGGTATGTTCTACTAGGCCCAGCCTGCCCTGAGGCACCAAGAGCCTCTAGGCGACGATCGAACAACCCGAGGAGTATAACAACAACAGCTATCCCATTGTCTTGTGTTACGTGGCTGTGTATGGCTGGTGATGAGCAACATTGACTAGCGTTCTCTGTCGACAATTACCCGGTGATGTGCGCCGTTTCCGTCCTGTGCCGTATCAGCTGGCGACTGACCTGTCTGCCGATCTGGTGGTGTCCGGTGTCAGGCTAGTGGTGACTGGTCTACCGTCTGTCGGCAGTTTTACTCGGTGATGTGCGCCGTGTACGTCCTGTACGGCCTCGGCTGGCTGGTGACTTATCTGTCTGTTTCTCGGCAGTTTTACTCGGTGATGTGCGCCGTGTACGTGTTGTACAGCCTCAGCTGGTGACTGGTCTGTCTGTTTGTCTGCAGTTTTACTCGGTGATGTGCGCCGTGTACGTGCTGTACGGCCTCGGCTGGCTGGTGGTGTCTATATTCTGTCGGTCTGGCGGTGACTGGTGCCCGTTTGTCTGCAGTTTTACTCGGTGATGTGCGCCGTGTACGTGCTGTACGGTCTCGGCTGGCTGGTCGTCTGCGCCAGGCAGTGGAGGGAGCTGCTGCGCATCCAGTTCTGGATCGGAGGCGTCATCGCCATGGGCATGCTGGAAAAGGTGAGCAACTTCACTGGTCCAGTGATCAGACGGTCAGAATCAATTGAAAATCTAAAGTTTAAAGAGCAGGCAATAACCGTTGCCTTTTTGTTTTCGCGCTTGGTGTAATGGTTTGTGATTGAACATCTGCGTTCAATGCGAATTGCATTTGGCCGCGTTGTTAATGCATCCTGTGATGTGAGCTGACCCGACCTCGACCGTATGACGATATCTGACCTGACCCGTCCCGCCGCCCTCCCTCCGTCAGGCCGTGTTTCTGGCCGAGTACGAGTCGGTGAACCGAACCGGCCACAGCGTCTGGGGCGCCGTAGTGTTCGCAGAGCTCGTCTCCTGCGCCAAGCGCGCCCTCGCCAGAATGCTGGTCATCATCGTCTCGCTCGGCTTCGGAATTACAAAGTGAGTGGCGGAGGAACCGGGGGGGGGGGGGGATGTTGTGATGCATCATTTTCAGTACCATGTGATCAGATAGGTGTAGTGGTGGCTGGTGCTCTACCGTTTGTGGCGTTACACGGGGTAAAGCCGAAAACGACCGGCTTCCTACCAAAGTCGGCAGGTGACAATAAACACAAGAAAAAGCAGCTCACTGCTGACTACACTCTTGGATCTAAAGCCGATCTCCGCTCTTGTTGTGGTTAAGTGAGAAAGGGGCACAGGAAGGGGGGAGGGGTGGACGAGTGTACGACCATCTGTGATCTGACCTCCGACCCCCTTCAGACCGCGGCTGGGCCCGCTGCTGCACCGGATCATGGCGGTGGGCCTGCTGTTCTTCATGTTCGCCTCGATCGAGAGCTGCACGCGCGCGCTGCGTCCCAAGAACGACCTGTCGGGCGGCACGCTGGGCACTTCTGTGGTGCTGGCGCTGCTGGACTCGGGCATCTGCTGGTGGGTGTTCAGCGCTCTGCTCAACACCACCCGCACACTCAGACTCAGGAGGTGAGAACAATGGCCGGTCGGAGAGGAAGGGGAGGGAGGGCGAGGAATGAGGATGTTTCGCTGAATTTAGGGGACATATTCAGGGTTAACCTGCCCAAGAAGAGAATGCATGAAGCTGGGTTCACACAGAGGGAGGGTGCTCGCAAAGAAATGTGGGCCTAAGATGGCTCATGCCTATCGTGCTAGTTTTTTTTTTTTTACACAATACACGGGACTATGTTTTACCGTCGCCCCGCTTCCCCTGTTTGCAGGAACGAGGTGAAGCTGACGCTGTACCGCCACTTCACCAACACGCTGATCCTGGCCGTGCTAGCCTCGGTCGGCTTCATGGTCTGGATGGTGAGGTTCCACCGCACGGCCGGCTGCCTGCGCCAGTGGAAGAACCTGTGGGCCGACGAGGCCTGCTGGCACGTCCTCTTCTCCATCATCCTGCTGGTCATCATGCTGCTCTGGAGGCCGACCAACAACAACCAGAGGTAGGCAATGCCGGCCGTGTGGTCCGCCCCAGGGGTGTCGCGCGGTTCTCAGCAGTCCCCGCTATGCACCTTGCTGCCAAGACATCAAATATTTACTCTCCCTGAGTGGCCAGTCACATTTGCCTCTTACCGATTTGGCTGCTGATTGTGTAATGTCTATCCTTGTCCCTGTCTTGTCTTACCGCCCCGACTGCCTCCGCCCCCCCCCCCGTCCCCAGGCACACCTTCACGCCTTCGCAGCTGAACGATGGAGCCCTTTGTTCTAATCTCTGACTGTCCCATCCCCGTCTGCAGATACGCCCTGACGCCTCTGACCTACCCACCCCCTTGCTCCCAGGTACGCATTCACACCTCTGCTGGACGCCGGGGACGAGGACGAAGAAGACGAGCTGTTCAGGTCGGACGCCTACCACGACCTCAAGATGCGCTCCCGAGGACAGAGCTCGCCGGGCGACTCGCACAACCGGCGCTCGCGCAACAACTCGGACGACGACCTTAAGTGAGTGGCGTGGAGCGTGGAAAGACGAAAGCTTCAATTTGTGGTTTCCCTATTGGTTGCTGCAATTATGGTTGGGGGTCGGAGGGCTGGGGAGTGAATGTGCGAAGGCTTACTTTGAATGTTATTTGCGGATGATTGCTCGTCTTTGTGCTGTGACTTCCAAAATTACCTATGTAGTCTTCCAACCATTTCTCGATTGATCTTGTTGAAATGCAAGTGTCTAGTTAACACGCAGTGAGACGAGCTCCGTATCCGCCATCCAGTTACCCCCATCACTCACCGATGCTAGATACACCCACCAGACTATCACCCCTCCGCGTTTCTAAAGCTCCATCCGGTCTCGCTCACAGATGGGTCGAGGACAACATCCCCGCCTCCATGGAGCCCGCCCTGCCCGCCATGGACTCGGACGAGGAAGTGATGCAGGCCAAGTTCGAAATCAGTAAGATGCAGTGATCCCCCGCGTGTGCCGGCCGCTCGCATTAACCCACCAGGCGGGGACCGGCTGCAGTAATTGTGCTGTATATTCTTCCTCTGCGGTGAAGAGGGTTGAGCGCACGGAAGTGAGGTGCGTGCGAGGGTCCGAGTGGGCTGTGCGGGCGGTGGTTAGGTCGGGTAAGAGAGAGAGAGAGAGAGAGAGAGAGAGAGAGAGAGAGAGAGAGAGAGAGAGAGAGAGACGTACTGCCGGTGTTGAATGGGGTATCCTTCCCGAACGGGTCGGAAAGATGGGTGATCCTTTGGAGTGTCGCCCCAAATGAGACGTTTCCTTCAGTGTCGTCTTATATATGAGACTTATGGGACGAGAGACTTCGTGAGGCACGGGGCAGTGTGGAGGGAGATACTGGATTTTCCAAATGGGACAGCGAAGCCCGGAGGGTCAGCGACACTGAACGATATGCTTTGAGCACGGGATCCACACCACCAGACTGTCTGTATAAAGACATCGGCACGGACCCTACGGAACCATAACGGACGGTCAGTGACAGTGGACGATATGGCTGGAGCGCCGGACGATCCGTATGAGATACGAGAGTCCGAGACACCGAATGAGACACCGGGCTGTCACTATCAGAGATCGGTACGCTCCTTATGGAATAAGAGAGGGTCGGTGACACGGACGATATGTTTGGGACACCTGACGGCCCGTATGAGGCATTTGACGGTCCATATGGGACACTGACTGTCCTGATGAGGCATCGGACGTCGATATCAAACATTTGACAGTCCGTACGTGAGCTCGGACGATCTGTTTTGGACAGCGAACGATCGATGATAGCCAATGAGGCTCTGGACATGACGATCGTGATGTGGGACGAATTTCGAGGGCGTGACGTTGATTTTCATCTGCGTTGTCTGTGTTGTGACGTTATTATTTAATTGCTGCTGCACTGGTGTACCTTGGTATGGCAATGTTATCTTCGTATCAAGTGTTTGTTGCTTTCAGAAGAGGTGCGTTGGAGAATATGCTAATGCTATCTGGACGCTTTCCCTCAGGCTTTGTGGAAAATCGCGTTTGGGTTGCTAGATTCGTGAAACATTTTATTAATGTTCGAGATAGCTGTTCGTTTGACACAATATAATAATCTTATATATTCTGGTATTTGTTACGGGATCGATATTCAACTGAGTGGTCTTTATTCAGCTTTATCACACTGGCTGCTGATTGCGGGACCTGGCTCGCTGAAATTCTTATAAGTTTGTCGTCAAAGTGATCCGCGATGAAAGGACATCATTTTTTCTGCCTACCTGAGTCCAATCGTAAAGTACGAATCTCTTATGTCGAGCGTTGGGATGATAGTTTTACATCGCGCACTGTCTCGGGCCATTAGTTTTGCACAGCTGAATACTCTCGCCCGAATCGACTCAGTAGTAAATATCTCTCGCTTTCGCCCAACGCGGGACCGATGGTTATGCACCGTCCAATATTAGAAAGGCCTTCATGCCTTATGGGGCAGATGATCTTCTGCCGTTCACCGAAATGCCTACCATTATTCGATGCATCAGAGTCCTGCTCGTCGGATCTGGAGTTGGATGGACTGCTCGCGTTCCAACAGAAGCTTCGTAAGTCGTTTAACCCGCGCCCGGCTGGGGGTCCTGGATTTCCACGCCCTGCTGGGGGGGGGGGGGGGTGTTTGAACACCCCCCCCCCCTTCTAACTCGGCTCCTGGGCCACGTAGCGATACGCGGAAGGCGGCGTTCGAAAGAGCGTCAAAAATAATGAGGAAATCACTTCGGTCAATTTTTTGGTCAGGTCAAAGGTCAGGTCACCAGAGGTCATTGAAGGCAAAATTTCGCCGATTTGCAGGTCGAATGTCGACAATTTCCACGAAGCCAACGCATAACTCGGGAGCCAATAGAGCTACAGCGCCGCGGAAAAGCGCATTCGATAGCCCTATTAACGCCCTTTCTGAGTAATTCTCTCAGATTTGACCTAACGTCAACGGTTTTGCCTGCAGGGGGCAAAAACTGCAAAAATAGCCGATTTTTTCGAAAACTGTTTTTCTGCAATAACTTTTGACATAAGCCTTGTACGAGCTTACTTTTACCGGCATCGTGTTCCTCTCGTCAAGACGCATCGAATGAACTATAACTTGACCTTGAAAGGTCAACTTGAAAATTTGACCTCAGGTCAAGGTCATGACCTGACCGGAAAGGGTCATGTTGCATATCAGTCGATCCGTATCGTCGAGCTGAACACATCTAAGGCGTTTTCATCGCTCTAGCATGCCTCTATCAAAAGTTATTTGCGAAAAACTGTTAGATACCATTCGTGACCTAAGATGACCTCAGGGCATAAACAGGGGTCACGGACACCATTTTCATGTTCAGTGTGTCTAAACCACTTGTAATTCAGTGTTTGGGAGTGTTTATAATGTCTGTTGTCCAAAGGAGGCGCATTTCAATTTTCTCCCATTGACTTATAATGGGGAGGTCGCAAAATTGACCTGACCTTAGGTCATCGATATCAAAATTCTGAGATATACATTTTGTACATGCTATTGCTCTTAGCAATCGCTGAAAGTTTCAAAGCGATCGGTCACTCGGTGTAGCTATGACAGACATTGAAACTTTTTATGAGGTGAGGTCACTTCAAGTGACCTGGTGACCTGACCTTGAATGACCTTGGTCTGAAATTTTCACAACATGTGTAAAATTGATGTATGATAAGGTGTACCAAAAACGGCGGCGCTCCGCGCCGCCGTTTTTGAGATATTCGCGAAAAACCACAAGGGGGGGTGTTCAAACACCCCCCCCCCCAGCAGGGCGCGGGTTAAATAATGATATGATACATTATAATAACGTGGTCTCCAGCCTTGCTCCTCGAACTTATTTAGAAGGCGGAAGTCATGTGACAAATAACCTTGCCTAACGTATTGATAAAAACTGAACTTGTTTTCTGGGGCTAATTCAGAGTAAATGATACTGAAGGCAAAATTACTCTGCCACTTTGCCCAATATTTTAAAACAATTATTTATATAAAATATCCACATGCATTCATGGCCCGTGATTGCCAGGACTTTGCTCCGGACTCTCGTTCGTGCAGTGTTCCACCCCCCTCCGTCCCCGTTACCAATGTCCGCGTGGCGCTCGATCTCTGCCGCGCCGGCTCCGGGCCGGTATTTTTCCGGCGTGCGGCCGGCACAGTCCAGGGGCCGGGCGGCGCCGATTGGCCGCCTGGGGCGGTGACCTCGCGTGACCCGCGCCCGGGGCGCGGTCGGAGCGCGCTGCAGTCTGCGGCCGAGCCCGGCGCCGGGCGGTGGACGGGCGACGGAGCGGCGCGTGGAGCACAGCCGTCCGGTCTGAGCGCCACTCCGCCGGCCAGCGGTCAGTCGTCATGGCAGTCAGAGGTAAGAAAAGGAGCTGATCAGCCTTTGGTTTACAGTATTACTGGTGTGTCTAGCCTGATCGTGCAATCATTTTTATCCAAATCGTAACTGATTATGCTTCGCTCGCTGTTTTACTATTTCATGTAAATTGCAAGATTGAAACTGCGCCACCGGCTAGCTTCTTGCTGCACCGAGTCAGATATTATTTTTCAATTTTGCTTGGCGGATTCATCTGTCCCGTTTGAAACGGGCAATTAGAGAACGAGTTCAATAGACAGAAGCGTGAAGCTCTTGGGTCACTACCAAGTGATCCAAACGTTAGCCGTCCAGTTTGTTAGTCTTTAATGAACTATCGTAGGTTCAAAATTATTGTGATGGATTGTATTGTTCTTTTCGCATTATCGACATCTCTGGTCCAGCTGTAACCAGGTGATTTTGTCTCAAATGACCGTGTGATGTGCTCATCACCGTCGCTGACCTGTCCGGACGCGCGCTCCGTTTCAGCGCCCGCGCTAGCCGTGCTGCTCTGCGCGGCGCTGGCAGCGGGGTTCATACCGCCGCAACTGCGGCCGCCACTGTTCCCGCTGCCCGTGCCGGCTCCGTCCGCCGAGGCGCGCCCTCAGAAACACTTTACGGGCTCTGTGTGTCCGCCAGAGACGACGTGCGTCCGCCCGCAGGACTGTTCGCGTAAGTACGGAAGGCTGCTCCGCGCAAAACTGGCTCATTTGCGAAATCTTATTTCGTTCAGCTTTGCTCCTTAGTTTCCTTATTTTTTCAGTCGTTCCTTGTCGCTCAAGTGTCTTTATTGAATATCGCATGACTGAGTTTGCGGCATTAATTATTAATTTTTGGAACTTCCAAATGGCAGATGTGTGCAAGAGCCTGGTGCCCATGCGCATTAAGCTCTGACAGTTCCGTTGTGAGCTGGTATTGGGCGGTCACGGCACGTTTCTCGCAGTTTCTGTGATCTGAGCGGTGTCGCTGACCCCACGTCCTCCCCTTCCCCTGCCCGCAGGTCAGTGCCGGCCCGGCTGGGACTCGTTCGGTCTCGGCAGCTGCTACTGGGTGCCTCCGGCCGAGGCAGCCGCCCAGACGGCCGCACAGACCGCCTGTGCCGCTCTCGGCGCTCACCTGCCCGTCATTGAGAACACCGACGAGCTGTCGCGGCTACTTGTGTTCGGGGCTCAGTGGACGAACGCCACTTGGGACGCGCAGCGCTCCTCGTGGGTGTGGTCGGGCACCAGGCGCCCGGTGCAGTTCTCCGCTCTGGGCACCGCCCGGCCCGCCGACGGTAGGTGGACGGCGAGGGAGACAGTTTTATCGTGAACTCTAAAACTTTGCTTCAGGTTGTTGAGTGATGGCTATTTGTTTCCTGGCATTTGTGGTCTGGTACCTTGACGCAATGGCTAGTCGAGCTGAGACAGACTTTTCTGCAACATCTGCTTTGAAAATGGAACAACTAGACATGCTCAATCATCCCGGACTAACTATCTGATCGCTGCGTCAGTGTGGCATCTGTGCTAACTGGTGGATAGCTTTCTGCTGCTATTTCTCGTTGCCGACTATCACTGTGCTGACGACCGCCCTGCCGGCAGGCTCTGCGACCGTCGCCTGTCTGGTGGCCGATCCGGGACCGCCGGCCTTCTTCATACCCACCGACTGCACCGGAACAGCCCTCTACATCTGCGAGACGGGTCAGTGTCGCCATCACCCGCCGTTTGTCCGTGGATCCCCGGACTCTTAGCTCGGCGGCTAATGCTTCCCCCCCCCCCCCACACACAGTCAGTTTCCCAGTGTTTTCCTAATGCTTAATTGTTGCTGACTCTTGATCTGTGCTCTCTCCCGATTATTGCTGGACCCCGATGTTACCCGTCGGCAGTCGCCCTCATCGTGCCCAGGTGTTTCCGCTCAACATCTTGCTCGCTTGCCTTTCTCAAATCTCCGCCTCCCGCTGGTGCCTTGGTTGACTAACTTTCTCCACCTCTATCGACAGGAAGCCCCAGCGTTTCTTCTTGCGCAGGGCAGAGCGGTCGTATCTGCTGTGCAGTCAGCGCTGATCACTATGGAGGTAGGCCGGGCGCACAGACTGGGTGCATTGGGTGGTAGGAAAGCCTGGAATACGGTATCCAGCTGCACTTAAAAGCTGTGGCCGAACAATTCCGGAGATATTGGTTATGTGAAACTTGCTCCATCTTGTTTCCCACTTGTCTGGTTCCTAGAAACACAACATACGCTGCTGCCGCGTCAGTAATCTAACGTGTTACTGTGCTATCTGTTACGATAGGCCAATTGTCATTGACTAGTGAGCGCATTCATTGGATGTGTAGTATTTGATCAGTCACTGAAGCTTTCAGGTCTTTCGCTTGGGCTAAGACTGCCAGTGTTCTGGTCGTCACTGTCTGTTGACGCACTATGTGCGGTGTCTGCTGTCTTTGACGTGCGCCTCTGTCCCTCCCCAGAGCCGTGCTACATTGACGAGCAGGGGACGCGCTGCGAACAGCGGATCCGTGAGGGTTACTTTCCGCTGGGAGAGAGCCTGGTGCGGCCCACGGAGGGCACAGACGACGGTCAGCTCTCCTGGGCGGAGGCGCGTGCGCTGTGCCGCGCGGACGGTGGCGACTTGCTAGTGATCGACGACATCCAGGTGCGGGGTGTGGGAAGAAACTGCCTTTGGGAAGGATGGACCCTCCGTGGATTGTCCGGTAGAGTGGTGGGGACTGGGGACCTATCTGCCGGGGATAATCTTGGGCTAGAGGACCTGCCG